GTTTCAATTATGTTGGACACATAGAGCAACCTGTCTCTGCATGCTGGGCACATAAGTGGGCGTTGGCCCCAAAAAAGTGTACTTTTGGCAAATGCGTATGCTCATTTCTGCGTCGGGTTAGAACAATCCTTCTGTCGTTTAGATTCTCCACTTACCAATCGTCCTTTAGACAGTTAAGAGCTTCTTGGACCACCCAGTCCACTGATGCTGCCACCTTTACTTTATCATATTCTTTATTGCTAGTTTAGATTCAGAGATCGGATGGCTATAGTAAGGTGTGAAGACCTCGGGATTGCGCCGCATAGGCTGCATGTCTTGTCTTCGAGCCTACGTGCCCACGTAATCAGACAACTAATAACCGTTTTCTTAGGGCGTCCAGCTCAGCAAATCATTCGAACAAAACCACGACGAGGGGATTAACCGAGAAGCTGTCCCTTTGGGCATCTCTGTTATTTGCCACACTAGCAGTTCTACGTTCGGGTCCCGACAGAGTTTTTTTAACGGATTATAGTATAAGCTGTAAAGTGATCTGACCCTCTCGTCCGCGTCACACAACGGGTAGGTGGACGCTACGCCCTCTTGTATGATAGGAACTTAGCTTAGGGAATGCGTGCACACGATATAGGATGCATTTGCTCCAGATTGCAAGAGTCCTAAGACTGCCTGATCGCATATAGCTCGACGGTGCACACACTGCAATGCAGGGTAGCATCCACGAAGGACCCCCTACGTTGAACACATCGCAAGCCACATCTTCTCCGGTCTTAAAATTAAACCCGTCCATCCGTAAAGACGAAGTGAAATAGTTTTTATTTCGGCTCTTTGTACCCTCTTCCGATAAAGAGTCTGACGGTAAAGCAGAATTTTCCATTATTTGTGTCATCCGCGAAAAAATAAAATCATTGACATTTATTCTAAATAATTTATGGTTATATTTTGTAGTTCTCTTTCTCTCTCACTCTCTTTCTCTCTCCCTCTCCCTCTCTCTCCCTCTCCCTCTCTCTCTCTCTCTCTCTCTCTCTCTCTAAAACATTTCAATCCAAAAACAAATGTGTAAGGAGTGTTTCTCGTTCAGGAAACTTTGACTGCTGATTTGTTATCTTATGAATTGTATTGACAAAAAAATGACAAGAAACTTTAGTAAGTAATTGCATTCCCAACAAGGTCATGTCAACCCTCGGGCTGTCCGTGTTTTTGAAAAAAGGCCCATTTGTGAGTATGACGGGTTTGAATCTGGGACTTTTACCTTACAATGACGAGCGCCGGGTCAAATCCTTAACCGTTGCGGCCACAGACATTCCAAAAGTGAAGTTCCTGTCATACAAGAGGGCTTAGCGTCCAACTACCCGTTGTGACGGGGACGAAGGGGTCAGATCACTTTACAGCACAAACTATTAGCCGTTAAATAAACTATGGTCTATGTCGGGACCCGAACCCAGAACTGCTAGCTTGGCAAATACCAGTCCGTCACCCTAACACTCGGCCACCGTTTATTTTCTTCAACTTATTAATATTTTATATAAATTTAATTTTAAATAAAGTGTTTTTGAAAAATTAGCGGTTAAAAAAATTCATTCGTGTTGAATAATTAGTAGACGACCCAAATAAAACCACATCCCTGCTAAAATTAACGAAAAAATTAAATAAAATCCTACCTTTTTTAAATTGTTTATTTATTTTATTTTATTTTAAGAAACAAATACAATTGTATGCACACTGACCCCGGGTCAATACCTTTATTCCCCACGCATTAATTGGCAACTTAGTTGTCCTTGATAGTCTTACATATTGCCCTGCTGGGGAAACATTTAAAAAAATTAATATCCTATTGTTATTTTCATACTTGATAGAATTTAGTAGTAAACGGCCAGAAGATAAACGCTTACACGTTGAATGAATATTGAATATGAGAAAATCTAACTAACACCACATTACTTTTTCTTTTATTTAAATTTCAGATACATGCAATAGAACTTCTGTCAAATGTTTCCCGAACAAAATAAGGAATATTTAATCGAGTCTAATGACTTTCTGGTCTTATTTCCGACTATAATGAATAATAAATAGTAGATTCTTAGAAACACCAATTTTAATGTAGAAAACCGAATATAAGATAGTTTTTAACATTTATATTCATTCACATTTGACTAGTTAATTTCTGGTAAACAAAAGTTGAGCTATTAAAAAGTTTGAAGGGCCAAGGGAAAACACCAGTCTAGATCAATGAATTATGTCACAATAGAATACGAATCGCCATTTACTCGGAGAAAAAGTTAAAAAGAACGCCAAAAACTCTTTATTCGGAGGAGAGCTTGTTGATCCGACCAAAAAGTCAAGGGGATGTGTTGCAACACCGGCGTAACCAACGTAAGCCGACTCAACCAGCCGGAAAACATAAAGACAGATTTACAACAAAATTAACAAGAAGACAGTGGAGGAACACAACCATGGAACGGAACTGACTTTTAACATATGCTAAACGGCCAGTGAATAAATAACTCGATTAAATCATTACGGGTCAAATTAATTGTGTTAATAATGTAACACGGGCATAAAATAATCTATAATGTGGGATTATTATTCTAACAACGTTGAGTAATATTTATAAATAAATACCAATACAATCAATTTATTTATTTTTTTTTGTTCTAGACTATTTTAATGTGTTTTGCCAGCGCATCATTTTATATTAAAATGTGTCAACCTTGACACAAAAATTAGTTTAAGAGGAAGATATTTTTTGTTAAAAGAATAAAGATTTAAGCGTTTTTATTTTACATTAAAAGTCAGATATAAATATATTGTGAGGGACTTATTTGTTTTAACTGTTCTTTTAACAAATTCTATAACTGTTTTTTAATGTTTTTATTTTAATCATTTAACGATATCACGTAGAATCTTAAAGCTAAATTCAATTTTACTCTTGCGAATAGTAACGATGAATGGAAAACTTGATTAAGTTTCTTTGATTTATAATGTAGATCAAAAAGGCTAGAGAAGCTTATTACCACGCAAATGTACAGATACAAAATAAATTAATAATTAAATACAAGGCCCTTTTTTTTTAAGTATAGATTTGGAGAAAGACATGTGCAAATAAAAAGAAGTGATATGTGTTTGTGTGTGTGTGTGTGTGTGTGTGTGTGTGTGTGTGTGTGTGTGTGTGTGTGTGTGTGTGTGTGTGTGTGTGTGTGTGTGTGTGTGTGTGTGTGTGTGTGTGTGTGTGTGTGTGTGTGTGTGTGTGTGTGTGTGTGTGTGTGTGTGTGTGTGTGTGTGTGTGTGTGTGTGTGTGTGTGTGTGTGTGTGTGTGTGTGTGTGTGTGTGTGTGTGTGTGTGTGTGTGTGTGTGAGAGAGAGAGAGAGAGAGAGAGAGAGATTAAAAAGGAAATAACACACAAAGACAAAGAACCAGTAATATATAATGCAAGATTTTGTTTCAAGCCCCACCATTACATTTAACTCCTTAAATTCACTAATTTCGTGGTCCGCTTGACCAATTAATATATTACAATTAATTAAGGTTTTTAGTTGAGATAAAAAGTCAACGGAACGAGCGGGATTCGAACCCACGATCTTCGGCTAGATACGCCGCTGCTCTACCACTTGAGCTATCGTGACCTCGATCCACTCGGACACTAACCTCCCATCAAAACCCCACCTTTGGAATTTTCCCTCCTTTTTGCCATTTTTCCAATGTCGTGTAATCGGATTGGATTCTCGGCGACAAATGAAATGGCCACGAAGAGCTTTAGTGAAGGTATACTTCATTTTAATTCATTAAATTCCTAATTTCATAGTCCGCTTGACCAATTAATATATTACAATAATTGGTCAAGCGGACCACGAAATTAGTGAATTTAATGAATTAAACATGAAGTATACTTCACTAAAGCTCTCCGTGGCCATTTCATTTGTCGCCGAGAATCCAATCCGATTACACGACATAGTGATGGAGAAGGAGAAAAATAAAGAAAGAAATAGGACGAGAAATGGCAACAAAGACAGCTAGAACGGCAGAGGCAGTCGCTAGGCACTGACTGAGGGAAGGAAAAAGAAAGAAGTAGAGAGCAAGAGAGAGAGGAGAATAAGAGAGAGAGAAAACAAAGTTGACAGAAGTAAATAACACAAACAAAAAAATTATTGCTAAAAGGCAATAGAAAGAGAGAGTAAAAAAGAGAAGGGGAAAGTGAGAGACAGACAAATAGACTGTTAAAAAGAAGAATAAAACATGTATTGTTTTGACGTTAAAAATAGATAGAATTAACAAGTTTAAAATATACTCAGAGGTATTGGTAGATTGAAGAATTTAAAAAAGAAGGTGGAGGTAGAGGGATGAAGTGACAGTATCGGCGAGAAAGCAGCCTTGGAAGACATAAAACATAAAACTAAACAGTCGGGTGAAGAAAAATATTTGAACGGGGATCGAGATAACAATAGAGAGTTAAAGAAGAAAAATATAACAATACTGAAAAGTGAGGGAAGAGAGAGAGAGACAGACAGACAGTGAACGGACGTTAAAAGACATACATGAAGATTATATAGATATAGACAAACCGATTAGTTGAAAAAACTAAGTAAATACACGGAAAATGAGTGATAATTGAAAATAAGAAGTGAGTATAGTAACGAATAAAATGAAACTCGAAAAGAGGTATTGTAAGGTGAAAATTTTTTATAATTAAAGTAAAATCAATTATTGTCAAAATTTTGTGTTGTGTAATTCGTTTAAGCAGTATTCGCTTCGCCATTTGATCATTAGTTTAATTACTTAACCGTAATTTTTAAATACTTAACCGCCCTCATGTTAGCACGTTGCAAGCTGGTGTAACTAGATGTAAAAATAATAGACCATACGGACCCGCTTATATCAATTTTGGTTGAAAAGCGGAAAATTGACGATATTAATGGATATGGAAGAGAAGATAATGTCGATGTGGACCCTGGTTATGTAAATCGCCTCAGGACGTAGCCCGGCTTCGTCCAGCTGGACGCTGATAGCTATATCGGAAAGGATCTGCCTGCCCCTTCCACCCGGTCCGTGTTTACCAGCGAGGAGAGAAAGAAGCCGGCAACAGTCAGTGCGAGCACATCGGGTCGTCAAGAGCAGAAAGGAAACGCAGCGAAATGAAAGAGCACGGATTTATCCTCGACCCGGCCGTCCTTTACAAAGGTAAACGATTCAAAATTGAATTATTTCCGCATGATTTCGTTCCAAAAGGATTGCCTGTTTACTTCGGTTACGTTCCGACGCTACCTGTTGACTCGCCAAAGAAAGTTAACAAAGTGTCATTTTTAAATAGCCTTTAAATTCATTTCCCTCCAAAAGAAAAAAGAAACTTTTTCCACTCTGCGTTATAAACTGAGATTTTTATTATCTCAAAAAGTTAAAGTTGTGCAAATAGTTGCTTTTTACGGTTTACATTGGATATTCAATTGCAATTAAACCACCATTTTAAATTATCTGAGAAATCAGAAAGTATATTTGTATAAATAGTAAGCAGTTTCTTCTGATGCTTTACATTTTAGGCCAAAAACGAATAAACAATCAATATATTTTTTACGATTTCATATGAGTTCAACGTGATAGTTGTGATCTATTCACTTAAAAATAACTATTCAATTAATTGCTCCCTTGTTTTTCATATTTTTTTATTGATCATTTTTTAATTTGTCAATAAATTGGAAATAATAAAGGTTAAGTTACTTTGTTAATTTAGTATATTATGAATGGCCCGGAGTCATTGAAAATACTGTACTACATATATGCTCTGAGTAACTTTAATTAATTAGTTTTTAAGGATTGATGTTGGGTTTTTGTAGGGCTTAAAATCATGCTTTCTTTCGAAATAATACCATCAAAAATGGATTTTTACTCATTCATTATTTTATATTTGTTATAAAGAAAATTAAAAACGAAATCAACCAACTCCGGACAGATGTTGATGTTATGGAGATCAGAGATGTGGTCTTTTTAACAAAAGTTTTTTTAAAAGACCATATCCCTGATCTCCATTACATCAACAATAGTAATTTATTACAATTTTTTTGTTAATTAAAAATGTATTGTAAGATTTCTCTTTCTGATTTGTGTGTTGTTGTTGTTGTTGTTGTTTAACTAATTTATCCTGTGGTGGGAATAATTCATGAGTTTCACAGTTTCTTTTTTCTTTTCACTTTTTATTGCCAATACGTATCTGAGGTTTGTTCCAAGCTCCCACGATACTTGCAAAAGGTATACCTGCACTGAACCGAAAATTCTTTCAAGCAAATGAAGGAAAACAAGGTTGAACAGTTTAAAAAAATTTCCATGAGATGATAACTTATAATTATTGTACAAAAAATATTAATCTAAAACAACAAATTCATGGCTAAACAAAATGATTGCACATATTTAATCAAATTTAGAAAATTAATTTAATATCGTCATATTTTCGGTTTTCTAGATCATTACTTTTACTACATTTTGGTCAAAATATCAAAGTTTCGAACCCACAGATTGAAACCTTACTAAAATAAGAGATGTGACATACTTTATAAGCATATGTTTGTGAGGAAGAAGAATGTGTTAGCGCGAATTTGTAAATTTTGTTTTATTTTTCGCCCATTATATTAAATTTAGGGAAGGATAGATGAACAGATCGTAGAGGGTGAGTAGCATAGAAACAAAGAAGAAAAGAGAGAGTATATTTTTTGGTTTGTGTGTGTATATGTGTGCCACACTTGCTACAGTATTGTTTATTTCCTGGTTAAAACAAAGGTTTTAAATTGGAATCAAAGTAACCTAACTATCTTTCTAAAGAACACGTACCATGCTGAATAAACAATTATTTTTCATGTAAACATTAAGGTAATCTATCTTCTTTTTCTGGAATAGTATAATAATCACCTAATTTATTTAATATATATTGGGTGCCGGGAAGAACGTCAGTACTTCAGCAGATCGTCGGACATGGCAAATTGGACAAAATGTTCCCAGAATCTCATAATATGTCAACCTTATTGTCAATTTGTAACCCCAATTTACATGCACCAATGGCAAGAGCAGTAAAAAGCCTAAGAGATTTTTTTTTCTGGAGGGCGCTTACGGGAATGTAGCTCTTACTAATGAGCTGTAAATACGTGTGCCTAATTTCCCAAAGTTCAGTTATCACAAATGTAAAACTAACATTTAATCCGCTAAAAAAATATTTTTCAATTAATATATAATACATTAAAAAAATATATTATTCGAATTTTAAAGTTTCATTAAAACATAATAAATGTACATAATACAAATTGGACAAAAATTTCTATGGTACAAAATTGAACATAAGAAAAGCAAAAATCTTCTAAAATTAAATTAAACCTTCAAAACTACCACCTATTTGATAAATTCAAGTCGACATCGTTTCCTAACAAATTTTACTGCAATATTTTGTTTGCTTATGGTTTCAAGAAACAAAAAACAATTGGAGTAAAGTTCGTACAGTTTTTAATGCACTTGTTATTGTTATAATCAAATTGACATTAGGAATAACATTTGATGAACTACGGGAAACTTTGTGTGATAAAAATGTGAACGAAATGGTTGAAGTAACGAAATATCTCGAATTCATATACTAAATTGCTTTACAGTTCGTCACTAAATGGAAAATTATAATTATAGGTTTTCACAAATTTAAAAAAAATTAAAAGTTGTTTTGTGTATCGATTTTCATGGCATTATTTAAAACCATAGTGCAAAACAAAATCATCGTAACAAAAATCCTGCTTTAAAGAAAATATGCCTCTTTTTCGCGCAAAGACAAAAAAAATACTTAATTAGGGCAGTGTTGTCTCGTCAGATTATTTGCAAAATTATTTAATATAAGTTAACAACCTCAAAGTCATAAAAATAACTTTATAAATAATAAATATCTTTAAACGTTGTTTATTAATTGAAAATTAACATATATATTACGCTCAATAATTTCCTGAAAATGTTAATGACATATTTTAAATTCAAATAAACAACTTTCTGTAAAACTTCATTAAATGGTCCGATTGACCAAATAACCTCTTTCCATTAAATTATCTTTATGTAAGGTATTGGTTAAAATGAAAAGTTAGTCGCGAGCGGGATTCGAACCCACGATGTTCGGATGAATACGCCGCTGCATACTCCCCATCTAAACCTACCTTTCGAATATTTCCTTCATTTTGCCATTTTTCAAATGTCGTGTAATCTATTCGATTCTCAGCGAGAAATGAAATGGCCACGGAGAGCTTTAGTGAAGATATACTTCATTTTGCTTATTAACTTCATTAAATTTCGTGATCCGATTGACCAAATAACCTCTTTCAATTAATTAATCTTTATGTAAGGTGTGGGTTAAGATAAAAAAAAATCAGTGTCACGAGCGGGTTTCGAACTTATTATTATTATTCTGTATAGCCTAAAAAATAACTTCCATAAAGTATTTATTATTAAACAACCTGTCAGTTACATATTTACTTATATTTAATAATAAGTAACTATATGTAGTGATAAAAATATATGAATGGACAACATTATAATTAATATTTTTACATTAGTTTAAATTTTATTTTTTTATTTTTTGAAAAAAATACCCAGATCACTAAGAATACCAAGTAAGATTTGTCAGCTATCGAATTTAATACTTCATTTTAAACTTTAACACGCCACAGAGGATGTTTCAAAAATAAATCAATTGTTTAATTTCCTTTGGTATCCCTGACGTGTAATGAATATTAAAAACGTCGCTGGTAGCAATTCTTCAAGGATTCTTTCTATGCTGTCGTCAATCGTATACCCTTGGCTGAAAGACAACAAGCAATCGACCTCATGACACCAAATAATTAATAATTGGCGATATACGTTGTTTTGCGCTTTGTAATCTCGGTTTTTTCAATCCGGAATATAAAGGGTCCCGTCGATTTGCCATGTTAAGTTACCCGTTTAACTTAAACGGTTGATAAACGGGAAAAAGAAAGTTGTAAATATCAAGTGAATTCGTAACAAACTGGTTTCCAATCGTTCCGGCTCATGGTGATATAAAAGTCTTCTCAAAACGGTAAATGAAGATACAATTGATTTGAATCAACGATCAGTGGTTATGTTTTATTAACTTGTCCGTAAAGTGTGGTGAAATAAAGTATTTTTTGCATTGCATACATTTTCTATCAGTAAAGAATTTAAATTGGAAAGTTTTTTTATAAACAGATCATATTCATATAAATTATACTAAAAGCTGTATTCTAACCCACGTGTAATTAAAAACATGTTTAATGGTGACTCAAAATTCAAATAAAGAACTGTCAAATACAACATTAAAAAAAAATTATATTTTCTTTCGGTTTGTTAAAATTTTAACATCCTTCCTAAAGTAGTACAAAAATTATAACTGAAGAAGGCTAATCATCGAAAACGACACGCGCAGATACAATTATTTCGGAAACATTTATTATTTATATGTTGTATCTTTGAACCATGTTTTCATTCATTATCATGCTTTTAAAATGATGTGATTTGCGATCATACGATATTTATGCTTATCTTTGCAAACACAATTGGTTTTAGGTGAAAATTAAAACCGGTTTCTTGTAGCAATGAAAAATTAGTTTCACATTTATTTTTTTGCCAAAATTACTCTCCTTCGTCAATGAGAGCCATAGTCTCGTACTATCTTCGATTTAATGAAGAAAGTTTCCGTTGTCTTGCAAGTTATTTTTTACTAAAACTCATATTTTTAAACTTGTCACAGAAAAAATTATATAGCAAATGCTTTTAAACGAGCTTTCAAACAACAAAATAATTAAATCGAAGTATTCGAGAGGTTAATTGTAGATATTTCAATAGGAATTGTAGCAGAAGCGATTAATTTGAAGAAAGAATGAAAATTTAATGAAGAAAGGGGAAAAGATGTTGGACAGAAAATAATATAAATTTGGTAAAAATAAAATGAATGCAAAAATATATATCGTGAACGAGAAAGAAAGATATACAAAAAGGAATAGATGGAATCGAGGGAAGGAGAGAAAAGAGATAGATAGAGGGAGGGAGGGAGGGAGTGAGAGAGAAAGAGAGAGAGAGAGAGAGAGAGAGAATGACTAAGAGAGAGAAGGAGAGCGATGGAGGGAGGGAGGGAGGGAGGGAGGGAGATTTAGCTAAATCTCCAAAATGTTATAGAC